TGGGGTGCTGCGAACCGGCAGGTGACACTAATGGGATATATCACCCCGCAACACACACGGCTGGATCCCTTCTCCCTGTTGAACCCCACCCGGTTCTGAGATGCTGGAGCCCCCCCCTCCCCGGGAGAGGTGTAAACCCCCACGCTGGGGTTGAGCCCACGCAGATGCATCGACCCCATCCCCGGGGTGAAGCCAGCCCTGGCACAGCCCCGAGCATCCCACGCTCTGAGCGGGGCAAAGCAGAAATCCGTGTTGCAGCCTCCCCTTCCAGTGCTCTGCTCCATCACCGAGGTCCCCCAGTGCCCCGAATCCCTTCCCAGTAAACCCCAGTTCCCTTCCCAGTGCCATTGAAGGGCTCCTTCCTTCCCAGGATAGCAGGGTGCAGCTATCCCCCTGTACCCACAGCATGCAGGGACAGAGGTTTCATCAAGACAAAGCAGGTTGAGATCGCTCTCCCCGCCAGCTGCTTTACATTCCTCCAGCTGCATAAAGCCATCTTAAATGGCCAGCGTAGCCCCTGCCTGCAGGAAACCCCCTCTGGCCCCAAGCCACGATCCCAAATCCTCCCCCCGCCACCCCAGCAGAGCGGAGAGTGGCAATTGCACCTCAACTGCCCTTCGTCTCCGCAGCATGGAGCTGCTGGGCATGAAATGCCATGAGTTGGAAAGCCACTGGTCACCCCTGGAGAAGCCACCTCAGCTTCACCCATGTTGTTCCTGTTCCCGCTGCCCCCCAAATCCCACATGAAGTGGTCCAGCTTGGGCTGCCAGCCCTGCTCTGTGTGTCTGTGGGGCTCAGCTTTCTGCTCTCCGGGACCCTCATGAAGAAGTTGGGCAGCACGGGATCCTCCCTGAGCAACCTTGTCCACTCAGTAGTGCTGCTTCCCAAGGCCAAAATAACCGAGAGCCACCAGTCCATCACAGAAATGGATTCCTGCAGCTTCCTTAGAACCCCAAGGCCAGATTTTGTGTGTTTTTTTACCCATTTCTGCTCCACCTTCACAACTCACACTTCCAGGGATGCTTAGAGCAAGGCACTTCCTTAGCACAATACAGGCACTGAACACCTTCATGCCCATGTTCCCCTACCGGGCAGGCTTGGACAGAGGTCCCAGACCTTGCAGGGGCCCTGGACTTCTCCTTTGCAAATGGCTTCATCTCTACACCATGGGGTCTCTCTCTTCCTCCCATCTTCTTCAGCTTCCTTCCACCACTGGCCGGGGAAAGACTGTCATCACCTGTGATCCCTTTGGCACCAGGTCACCAGAGATCTCCTCTATCAGCCAAGTTATTCTTTATTTTCCTCCATTAATTCAAGCTCAGGATTGGGCTTTCCAGGGTGTGAGATCTTTCTGCCCGACGCCAAACCACTTGAGAGCGGCACCATGCCACCGGTCTGCCAACAACTCCAAGGTGGCCCAAAACCCCCAATCCTGGTCACAGTAGCCACGTGCCTCATTTGGCTTGGAGAGGAAAGCAGTCAAAGGGGAATTTCTGCAGGAAAACCTCTTCTTTCCATCTTCTTTCCCTCTGGCTCTAGCCCTGCCCCAGCAGCCGGACACATCCCCCTGTACCACACTACGTCTGCAGGTGCCTGTTCCCGGAGCTGGATATGAAAGAGGGAAATCTCCTTTGTAATAAGAAACCTGTTTTAATAACAGGTTAAATCATCATTTTTGTTATTTTCTCTTTAAGCTGCTGAGCACAAGAAGTCAAGACGCATTTCTGCACCCACATGGGCTGGATGTGTTTTCTGGGAAGAAGGTGGCAATCACCGAACCACAGCTAGCAAATGCCGACTGGTCCTCAGCCCACTTTGACCTTCCTGTATGGGAATATCTGTGATCCTCAAAGAACACAGCCCTGTGCACAAAGCAGGAGACGGAGCGGAGTTGTCTCTGGGGATCGTCACAGGTCTACTTGTTTACAAGCTCTAAAAAGAATTTTACTGCTTGATGCCCTCCCTTGCGAATTGCGAGCAAGGTTCTGCTGAAGGCTCAAGTCACTACAGGGGAAGGTAGGAGCCCATAACCCACGGCTGCTCTGCGCCTCGTCTGGCACCCACGGTCTACAGAGAGCGCAAGCAGTGCCGTTGCTGCTGCGTTTCAGGGCTATCCGCAGCAATCCTGACATGACCACACACCTTCAAGACAAACTACAAAGCTGGTTTTTAGAGAAGGCAGCACAGGAGAGACATGGACTCATTGCAGCAGGTCCAGAGGAGGCCATGAAGATGATCAGAGGGCTGGAGCCCCTCTGCTGTGAGGACAGGCTGAGAAAGTGGAGTTGTTCAGCCTGGAGAAGAGAAGGCTCCGGGGAGACCTTATTGTGGTCTTTCAGTACTTAAAAGGTGCTACAGGAAAGCTGGGGAAGAACTTTTTAGCAGGGCCTGTGGTGATAGGACAAGGGGGAATGGCTTTAAACTCAAAGAGGGGAGATTCAGACTGGATCTAAGGAAGGAATGTTGTACGCTGAGGGTGGTGAGACACTGGCCCAGGTTGCCCAGAGAGGTGGGAGATGCCCCATCCCTGGAAACATTCCAGGTCAGGTTGGACGGGGCGCTAAGCAACCTGGTCTAGTTGAAGATGTCCCTGCTCATGGCAGGGGGGTGGACCAGCTGGCCTTTAAAGGTCCCTTCCACCCAAACCATTCTGTGATTCTATGAACATGCCTTGTGGATTCCAGTATCTGATGCGTCAGAGCAACCCAAAGCCCGGGATGGTCCACTTCTCCTCTGAGCGATAGGTCGGCACCCCTGCAGCCTCCATGAAGGTCTGGGATGGGGATGTCCCATGCTGTGGTTGGAGGACCCTCATTCTTCCGCCATCTTACTATCCCCGCTGCGTTATCTGTGTGCTGACAGCTCCCTGCCTCCATGCAGTGCAGATTCACACCAGCCAGGTTAAACTCACCCAGTGGTCCCAGCTTCTCACTATCTAACCCAACTTCCCTTGTTTCACTGCTCCATTCACTTCCAGCTCCCTGCAAATTTTGCTAGCAATGCCCCTCTATTTTCTTCTTGTGCCTCGATAAAGATATTAAAGTGGTTTGGGTAAACAGCAGGCTCCTTCCAGGTCCCACCAGGAACAGCCGGTACCTCCTCTCCCAGCTCTTCCCTTGCACAGGGTGGACTTGAAAAGCCCATTTGTAGCGTAGGTCTGTGGGCAAGTTATGAAAGTGCTTAGAAAAATGGGGACATGAAGCTCAAGTCAATGAAGTTATTTTACGTCTCTGCTGCAATAGCAACAGCTGAATTCAGGACTGTAGATCCTGGCCCCACATCAGGGCTAAAACGTATGGGAATGTTCAGCCATGTCCTAAGAGCAGACCCAGGAAATAAAGGCCAGCCTTGTCAGGAGCAAGGTGCTGTGTTACATCTCTGTTGCGTCTCATAAAGAATACATTCACCCTTTGGCAAAAACGAGGCTCTTTATCTTCATCTGCAAAGGAATCCGGTTGACAGTTCAATACTGCCAACATCAATCCATCTGCGATCATGAATCAGGCTCCAAAAAACATGGGATTGGCTTGCAAATAATAAAACTTGGGTCCTTTTTATTTGCCTTCTGGTTCCTGAGCCTTTAGGTCAAACTGGCTTCATGTTTTCTGGGCAATCGAGAAGACGAGACGATCCCTTTTTTTTATTTTTTCTCGAATGAAAAACGAGATTCTCCTACAAACTACTGAATAAACAGCATGGGCTCCAATAACATCCCCCGCCACGCAAGCCTCGTGGCAGGATCGTGAGCTGGCCAGACTCTGCAGGCTGGAGGAGCTGGCTGCACACCGTACCTTTCCCTGGAAGTTTGCAGCCCAGCATCCCCGATGTTTGATCCGGCGCGCGTCTCCAACGCACATGCGAGGGCTGCCAGCTGCAGGCGACGGAGCTGGAAACTTGCAGGACCGTGAACCGTTGCAAGCCGGACTAAAGAAGCCCTGCCCCGGGGACGGAGGAGCTGCTGCCTCACTTGACATCGGGCTGCAAAAACACATATCCTGATGTGGTTTCTTCTGCTGAGGCATGAAGGTTACCCATCCTGGGGAACGCAGGAGTAAATCCCGATTAACAGTCATCCCGCAGTGAAAACCACAGTCCTCATTCAAGCCCCACAGCCAGACCACCCCACTGACACTCAGCCAGCGACAAAATCCAAGCTGGCACCAACCTCCTTTCATCAAGCAGGGAAAATCACCTCCCATGAGGGGATTCTGCTTTTTATTTTGAAACACAGGCTGAGGCATGAGACCCTGAGTGAAACCATCACAGCCTCATGGGAACTGTGGCCAGTGGGAGGGCAGATGCACTGGCAC